AATGAAAGACTACCCGAGATCACTCCTGCTCCAGCACCTGGCCAAACCATATATATTCAGAAAAATCCCCGAAATAAATTATCTGCACCTTACGTATCAGCCGAAACTACTTCTAGTAGCAATACCAAAATTCAGGCCGTTACTTCCAAAAATAGACCCACCAATACCCATCCTAGAAAAATCAAACGTCTAAGGAAAATACCCTTGTTACAGGATCGTCATCCTGACGAACCACAACCTGGCCCTTCAAGTGCACCTGATCCCGAATAATGGATACTATCGTGAACTGATAGGCCATGCTCAAGAGTTAAATCACTATCACCGACATATTATTACTGTTAACCTAACTGCTATCGACGCAACGCTTAAAATGACTCTAACTAACTTCCTATTCCTTAACAAGACTCTCACTACTTCCAACTACCGAATATTTGAACAATATAACCATCTCTATTCCGAGACACTTGACAATTTTCATAAAATAATCCGACCCCATCAAAGGCGAGGAATTGCTAACTTTTTGGGAACTTTTATTAAATCAGTGACTGGCAACCTTGACGAAAACGCTCGTATATTTTTGGAAAGGCACATCTTCAGTATCGAAAATAAACAAAATCGTATAATCAATGTGCTTAATAATTCGACAAGTTATGCATCAGAAACAATAAAAAGATATAATATTCTGATTGAAACCATAAATAATAATACAGTGAGAATCACACAAGATATTAATTTTCTTAGAGATGAATTCCAGCAGTTTATTACTCTTCAAAGCGAAATTCGTAATATTGATCGTTTGAATCAATTCATTTTAAAGCTTATTAGAAGTATAAACCTATCTGCACTAGAACAACCGAACATAGAATTATTTTCACTTTCCGAAATCACTGACTTAGAAGAAAAGCTAAAATCTTTATATAAATCAAATTCTCTTTTATCAGATAATTCACATCCCTTTGAACTTATCGAAAATTCACGTTGTTCATTAATTACCACAAATACTCAGTTACTCATCCTTTTCAAAATCCCGATCCTTAATGATCACTCTTTCCGACTTTACCATATTTATCCCATACATAATGAAGAAAACATTGTACTACTGCCTCCTGCAACTTTCTATGGAGATAATCGCTGGTATTCTACATGCACCGATGTAGGACCAAAAATCGTATGTCAACCCGCTTCCACCACAAGATGTCAGCTTCCCAGCTTAGAAAATTGTACCACTGCCAAGCTTTCCCAGCCTGTCATCCACCAAACAAAGAAAAACCTGATCGTCAGTACAAATGAGCCAATCCAAATCGTTGAAAGATGTTCCCAGACTCACCGAAATATTAGTCAAGCAGCAATTGTTTATTCTTCATGCCCAATCGAAATTAATGGACAGATTTACAGCACTACTTCAGAGCAAATCGAAGTTCCTGATATCATCCCTATAAAGATCCGCCCAAAGTTTAACTTACAGATCAACGAGTTGCAGCCACTCAAAGATGTACCACAGCTATCGGCCATACAGCCCTTACATCTAAGCCCTACAGTGACGTCTACAACAACTTGGTCCATGGCAACCCTAATGCTCATCATCGTCACAGCGAGCATTTACTTCGTCTTAAGAAAAAGAAGAAGACTCCAGACGCTTTTCTTCAAGCCGAAAATTTCCATTGCCGACTTGGAAAACCTAAAACTTCAAAAGTCCGAGGACGGACTTTCAGCTTAGCGAGGGAGGCGTTATAGGTCAAGAACCCGAGGCGTCAGCAAGACGACACCGCCAGTCGCAACGACAGCAGAAACCTTTATTAAAACTATTTTTCTTTTTATATTTTAATTCATTATCATTCCAACTTGTAACACGTTCATGTCTACAAAATAAATATTTTTTAAAAACTCCTTGTTGTGGCTGAGAAACATAATTCGCCATCATTACTCTCTGGGGCCGGCTCTATCGCCGGGCCCGCCGCGATGATTTCTGTGGATACCTTGCCAGGCTGGGACCCGACAATCATTCCATCACGCGGTGATAGACAGGAAGGTCGTTAAAGCTCATGGTGATGAACCTTGCACCTTCCCACGGTCGTAGATTCCCCACGTGGGCCTCCAAACATACCCCAGAAGACTTGTCCTCGCAGACAAAGATGGCTGCCCTCATCTATCAGCACACTGGCTGCCTTCTGTACCTGTGCCTCCGTGAATTGAGTTCCAGGATAACCATCGGACACGATAGCCACCCTGAGACCCGCTTGGGACGCACGCGCGTAGCTAATATACGCGAAGATGCGCCCTCCGGTGTCCTACCGGCAGACGTCTGCCGCTTTCCGTCTCCAGGCTACTTTGAGGCCTTCCTGACACACCCAGCTCTCGGTTGGGCCGGAACAGCCGGAGCCCCAGAAGTGGTGCTCTGACCTTCCGTGCCCCCGCCATCCGCGCTTCTCTCCGCTTCCGAGCCCTTTTTTCTGAACCTAGCTGAGATTTCTTTTTGGTTTTTAGAGAGCCCACCCTTTCAGCGAGCTGTCTAGCTAGGTTTCTGACAGATTCCTCGGTCAGAGTGCGATCAGGGTTCCCTGGTGAGGGGCCGCCCGGATGTTCGGGGTCCCCTGGTTCCATAATTGTTCCCACGAGTAATGGGGAAATGGTGGTCAACGCCCGCGGTTATCCTTCCCGGACGCAAGGCTGAATACTTAGGGAGGTCGTCCGGTATCCCAGAGGCTCCGTTTAAGACGGCGCATCCCCACCGTCATGAACCCCTCGACATGGAATCGCTTAACACCTTGGGCTGGGTAGTTTACGATTGGACACGATGATTGTTGCGCTGCAGACGCCCAGATATACATCCAGGAGACCTGTGACCCAACGAATCATCCGATTAGCCAGGTTGTCAGCTTTACGACGGGTCTACTCAAAACTGGACGAGGCGACCCACCGAAACACTGTCACCCCGTTGCCCCTCCTACATGGTAGCTCACGGTTCAGCGCCCAAGGCCGCCCCGCAGAACGAGTTGGATTTTGAAGGAGATATAACAGGGTAAGTACAGCCATCTAGCCCAAAGCAAATTATGTCTAATGTTTTTCATATGCATTTGAATTGCACTCAGATAATAAATTATCGTCAAATTCTGAATCAGTGGATTATATTATATGATCCTTCGAGAAATCAAACCAAGACTAAAAAGGGAATCGAGTTACCAAAGTTTCTGAAGCAAATAAAGAACTGGACCTGAGCCCCATCAGTGGGTGGAAGGAAATACTTGGAGCTTTATTTGAAAAATTTGGTTACAAAAAGGGTTAGTTATTTTGCATGTGATACTTGTTTTTGTTTGTGGTGAATGCTATATAAATCCGATTCGAAAGACAAAACAACTACAGGGACACTTTATAAACACTGTCGTTAAAAAGTAAAATTATGGGGGTCGTCGCTTCATGGGCTGTCACTGTGGGATGGTGATGGAAATTCTCGAATATGTGCACTATACAGCTGAACTATGTTCGATAATTACATATCGATACTTACCTATATTCCTCTCAAATGAACAGGTCTATCGAGTCATCTAACAATGATATATATTTTTAGCGAATCCACATTCTGAAGACGCATTGATTACCCGAATATTTGGGAAAACAGAATGTCACAAGACAAATTTCAAATAATAATTAACTTCATCCGATCATTTGTGTATATCATAGTTCAGATTTATGGATAATTGTGAAAAATAGACAGACCCGCGTTGATTATCACAAATATCATTATACTTTATTATAATTGTTATTGTATCATAAAATAGTAAAAACTTCAAAAGCGTATTCGAATATCGTTATTATCTTAATTCGAATACTCATCCTCATCTCTAAAAGACGGAGAGGCACAAGAAATGAGGGTTTTCATTTTACATTTTGCAGACATTATGTTATTTTACAACTTTCATTTTGTAGTATAACTTATTATCTGGTTTCTATCAAAAATTTTATGAAGCACAGGCAGCAGTATATATTCATCTAAGCCAGATAAAGGTGTTTAAAATAACTGTAATCCAGAAACATCTTTATTTACCTTGAAGGACCACATGCGGATTAGGTACAGCCTGCAGCAGAAACATGTGACAATGGAAGATAATTTAGGAGATTGTGAATATCTGCACCTAATTGACAAACGAAATATCATTTTTGTTTTCAATTTTTTCAGGTGTTTACGTTTGTTTTGAATTTGGTTTTATCATCTGCAAGGTGGGTTTATGATAGTTGATTCCGATTGGCCAATTTGTGATCCTGTTTTACTAAAACGTTTTCCAATTGGTCATTGTTGATCCGGTTCATTGGTTTCGATCTCCGAATCAAGTGAAAAGGATATTTTTTGTAGCTAAACCAGGAAACTTATAATTTATTTAATTTTATTCAATATGGGATTTAGAGGCCATTATTAAGCAAATGGTATATTTTTTCGTTAGTTTGGAGACATAACCCGTCAATCTGAGAAATCAAAAGAATGGTGAGTTTCTATTTTTCACAGGTAATTTATTATACGTTTAATTATTTTATTTAGTTTTGATTATATCGAGTTATGAAGAAGAGAAAATATTTTTACATTTAAATGGTACTGCTTTTGGAATAACTTTGTAAAAGGTGGGGCGAGAGGAGATTTTTTAATCCTATTACTGTCATTTTTCTCAATGTCAAGCTTAAGCCTGTTTTTAATATTCCTGAAGAATCGATAAAATATTTCTGTACCATCCTTCAGAGATACTTATTACAAAGTTGACGCTCCCCTTGGCGAAGAATAGTTGGACAAATATCACAAAATCACATTTTTTAAAATCTTTAAATTCACAAAGACATCTTTTCAAGACTCATTAGCATCAATTTTAAGGAACATTAATACGAATGAGCTGGTGCGGATTGTACCCATATACGAGTGAAAGTATCAATTTCACAGCAAGAAAGCTATGTGGATAGGTATCATAACCACTCAATCGATTTAGTAGAAATATGTACAGCAAGTGAGCTCTTCACATATGCGTTTGTGGGATTTCCTGGAAGAGCACATGATGCAAGGGTAAGTCTCAATGATAAAATTCAACAAAAATTATGTGCAAGTTACAATTGGTGGAAAACATAAAAATTACATGTGTACATATTTTTAGATATTTTCATATTCAGCTCTGTTTAGGATAGTAGAAAAAAACAGACAACGGAGAAGAAAGAAATAGGAATTATCATGAAGATAGTGGTAGTGAAGGCCAAATGAAGCGTGACATGGTAGCTTTTCAGCTTTATACTGATATGTAGATTTAGTTTTATATTTTGTTTATCATTAAATTGTGTCATGTTACTTTGTATTTCATTTTCGGTTAAAACTACATTATACAAATCATTGTATTAATCATATTTCAGCATAAACACTTTATTAAAGAAATAAACTCTACAAATGCAAAAAATCCTTATTGAGAGGAGCGTAATAGAGAAGTTTCGAAATTTATTGTGGAAATTTTTTTAACTTAATTCTTCATGTAAATTGAGAGTCACTACTTGGCAAAATCGGTTGATGTTGTCAAACACTTGCCCTGGTGAGAACGGGGAGGAAAAATATTTTTCTAAACAACCTGTTGATTTTACCTATTGAAATTGTTGTACCTGTTTTTGTGACAAATTAATATTAAGAGATATGTGCGAGTCTTCTAATTTTTCGCAATTTAGCAAATATAAGTAGATAATGCCAAGTTGCTTGACATCAGCATTTCTGTTCATACAACTGTCAGTCATGAGAACGTGTGACATTTCTAAGAACAAACATTTATAGAGATGTTCTTCTCTGTCAAGGATCTTGATACTGTTATAGCACATCGAGTGTCCTGTGGAGCTCACATGTGATACCAAAGCACGTCTTTCTGGATGCAATTTGGCGTCACTCCTATGGGATGTTATTCTGTCGTTTAGTGATCTAGGGGTTTGGCCTATGTATATCAAATATACAATTAATGGAGTAGACGGTATCGGTTAAGCCAAGCATCGGAACTCTATCTTTCATTTTGGAAAATACACTATTGATTCTAAGAACAGATTTACAGGCAATGCGACAATTTAAAGTGCTACATAGTCTGGCCAGTTTTGGAGATAAGTGCTGAATGTATGGCAATACTCCAAAGCTAATTCTGGGATTTGATGATACATTGGTATTATTATTATCGTGAGAATTGCTTGTGATGTTGTTGGAAGGGGTGAAACTATTATTACCATTGCTTGGATTTGGCACTATAGTAGACGGAGAGATGAACAAGATTCTGTTAATCAAGTACCTTGGATAACCATTGTTCATGAACCGTGATGAGCATTTTCGTAGATTCGAGGTTTAGAAAGAGCTGCCAGAGGTGCCAATTACCCCTGATTTCATTTGTTTCACCAAATTCAACTTTATTTTTAGGTTATGGTGGGGCCAGAAATTTAGGAACTTATTGATTTTCATATTCTTTTTCAATGGTGAATTGAATATGATAGCTATCAAAGTTTTCGAAAAATATTAACTACCCCCTGTGATGGGAGACAAACAATAATGTCGTCTACATACTTCTTTATGAAACATATTTTGCCAAAATTGGTGATAGTACTGGGCAAGCGTATGTTTGTGAAAAAACTTTATTATTGAATGTAAAATAATTGTTATGGAAAAGGAATTCTAGAATGAAAATAAATGAATCCAGAGTTAGATTGCAGCATTGACATATTTGATCCCAGTGTGTATTGATGGATCTAATGCAATGTTTTACCTTGATGCTGGCATTAGATCCATCAATAAACACTGGAATCAAATACGTAAATGCCGCAATCTAGCTCTGGATTCATTTATCTCTATTTTATAATAACTTTGCTATAACAATTATTTTACATTAAATAGTAAAGTTTTTTCTCAAGCACACGATTGCCCAATGGACCTGCTCGACATTGCTTCTAAGTTTTACCTTTCAACCTGTATTTCATGAAAAAGTATGTAGCCGACATTATTGTTTGTCTCCCGTCACAGGGAGTAGATAGTATTTTCGAAGACTTCAATAGCTATGACCCCTATATTCAATTAACCATTGGAAAAGAAGATAAAAATCAATCAGTCCAATTTTTGGACTAAAGAATCCTCCGAAACAACAACAACATCTTGCTGGTATACTGGCACTGGAAAACAATATCCTCAGGAAGGTTACTAAGTTTCAGGTTTTACCATATTCTAAAAATAACGTTGAATTTGGTGAACCGCTTTCCACACCTCGAATATACGGAAGCTCTCAACACGGTTCATGGACAATGGTTATCCAAGGTACTTGATTAACAGAATCTTGTTCAGCTCTCTGTCTATTACTGTGCCAAATCCAAGCAATGATGATAATAACTCCAACCCTTCCAACAACATTACAAACAATTCTCACAATAACAATAATACCAATGCACCATCAAATCTCAGAATTAGTTTTGTAGTATTGCGATACTTTCAGAACTTCTCTAAAACTGGCCAGACTATGTAGAACTTTAAATTGTCGTATTGCCTGTAAAGCTGTTCTTACAACAATAGTGTTTTCCAAAATTCCAAAACGAAAGAGTTCTGATGCTTGGCTTAACCAATACTGTCTACACCATTAATTGTAATGGTTGCAATACCTAGGTCAAACCTCTAGATCACTAAAGGACCCCCCTACAAAATCCAACCCGTACGTCCTCGAGTTCGTTCTGCGGGGCGGCCTTGGGCGCTGAACCGTGTGCGACCGTGTAGGGGGGGCAACGGGGTGCCGGTCTTGCGGTGGACCGCCTCGATTAGTTTTTGAGGAGACCCGCCGGAAAGCCGGTAGCCCGGCCAATCGAATGATTCGTTGAGCCACAGGTGTCTCGGATGTATATCTGGGACGCCTGCAGCTCAACGGTCATCATGGGCAATGGTACGTTACCCAACCCAAGGTGTTAAGCGATTCCGTGCCGAGGGGTGCGTGGCGGTGGGGATGCACCGTCTTAAACGGAGCCTCTGGGACACCGGGCGACCTCCCAGAGTATCCAGCCTTGCGTCCGTGTAGGGGCACCGCGGACGTCGATCACCACTTCCCCTATACTCGTGGGAACATTATGGAACCAAACGATGGAAAAAATAATAAAAAACCCGAGGCCCCCCCTACAGGGGACCCCGAACATCCAGGCGACCCCTCACCAGGGGACCCTGATCGTACTCTGACAGAGGAATCTGTCAGAAGCTTAGCGAGAGAGCTAGCGGAAAGGGTGGGCTCTCTAAAGATTAAGAAAAAGTCTCGGCCAGGTTCCGAAAGGAAAAGGGCTCGGAAGCGGAGAGAGGCGCAGATGACGGAGGGCTCGGAAGGTCGGGGCACCACTTCTGGGACCCCGGCTGGACGGACCCAACCGCCATCTGGGCTAGACGGTGCGCAATCCGGTGTGTCAGCGGAGACCCTAAAGCGGCCCGGTGACGGGAAGCGGCAGAGGTCTGCCGGTGGGACACCGGAGGGCGCATCCTCGCGGAAGAAGCCTCGCACTGCGACGCATGCGCAAATTAGTTATGCGCGAGCGTCCCAAGCGGGTCTCAGGGTGGCCGTCGTGTCCGACGGTTATCCTGGGACTCAACTTACTAATGTACAGGTGCAGCAGGTCCAGGAGGCGGTCAGTGTGCTGATAGATGGGATCCCAGATGAGGTGACCCTTCCCAGGTACATTGACTGCTACCTCTCTCGAGGGGCAGCCATCTTTGTCTGCGAGGACGAATCCTCTAGGGCATGGTTGGAGGCCCACGTGGGGGACCTGCGGCCGTGGGAAGGCGCAAGGCTCATTACGATGAGCTTTGGAGACCTTCCCATATACCACCGCGTGATGGCCTGGTTTCCGGGTCCCAACCTGGACAACGGGGTCATCACGAGGAGACTCAGGAGACACAATCCTGGGACTTTTCCCAGCGCGTGGAGGATACTTGAGAGGAAGGAAGAGCCGATAGGTGTCCGACTTGTCCTCTCAGTTGATTCCATAAGCTGGAAGGTCATTGTAGGTAACGGCAACAGGCTGTGTTGCGGTGGAAGTTCGGGGGTGTTTACACTCCTGAGCAAGAAGAAGAGCAGTGGAGCGACACCTGCTGGAACTGGCCTGGCTCCAAACCAGGAGTCGGACCAGCCCAGACCGACGGGAGCTGTGGCGGTAGACCAGGCTCCTTCACAGGGGATGGGTCGGCCGGGTCAGCTCTCGCTGGAGCCACCGGAGGCTACGGACGTGGAGGCGGCGGGTCCAAGCGGGATATCCGCAGAAAACATCGTGGCGGACCCTGCGATGGATCTGGTCCCAGAGGAAAACGATAGCGACTCGGACGAGGATGGAATCCTGAACCGAGTCCGAGAACTCCTCCGTGGAAGCGGAGATGAAGGCGGCTGTGGCAGCGATGACTGCGGCGGCGACGGCGGTACGCCCGAATAGGGGTTACATACCGTCATTCGAGAAGGTGTAGGAAGGGCCTCTCAACATCCATGGTAAGTTTTAATTTCATCCAAATTAACTTACAACACTGCATAGCGGCTTCGAGGGCCCTTACTCAGGAGATCACTCGAGGCCGACATGACGTGGCTCTCATCCAGGAACCCTGGCTGAGAAACGGTTCAGTAAACGGGCTTAGTATACCGGGCTATACGCTTTTTAGCGATACTCCGGACACTAAGCCCAGAGCTTGCGTAATGACTTCCGTCAACTCATGGCAACTTAAAGAATTTACATTTAGAGACTTAGTTGCAGTCAGAATTAGATATAAGAAGGAAGGCAGTGACAGGGACTTGGTTGTCTGTTCGGCTTACCTTCCTTACGATTCAAGAGACCCTCCTCCGTCTAAGGAAATGGGGGACCTTGTCGCATTCTGTAGGGATTCTGGACTCGACCTTGTGATTGGATGCGACAGTAATGCCCATCACGTTGCGTGGGGCAGCTCGAACACCAACAGACGAGGCGAAGACCTGATGGAGTTTCTTGTGGCATCGAACCTTGAGGTTCTGAATGTCGGTAACATGCCCACTTTCAGCAATAGTGTAAGAGAAGAGGTTATCGACGTAACACTGAGCACGCTTAACTTAGCTCAGGACATCAGGGACTGGAAAGTGTCTCTAACACCCTCTCTATCGGATCACAGGTATATACTGTTCAAGACTGATGGAGAGATTCCGGATAAATATGCTCGGAATCCCAGGCATACTAGATGGGGGTCCTTTAGGGCAGACATTGACAGTAAGCTTGGAGCGGTCCCATACAGGCTTGGCAGGGGCTCTGACATAGAAGCAGCTGTCGAGTCTCTGAGCAGGGACTTGACGGCCGCATATGAGGAAAACTGCCCGTTACGCAAAGTACAAGGTAAGGGCAAGGCAACCTTCTGGACCAAAGATTTAGAGGATAGAAAACGAGCGGTGCACAAACTTCTTAGCAGAGTTAAGCACAGGAGAGGTTCTCCTCTATGGGAAGAATACAAAAAGGCATTGCAGGAGTACAAAAAGGAGATTAGAAGGGCCTCCAGAGAATCCTGGAGGCACTTCTGTCAGTCCATAAATGACATTCCTGCTACTGCAAGAATACACAGAGTCCTATGCAAAGACACTAAAGCAAGATTGGGATCTCTGCATGATCCCTCGGGAGGGAACACTACTTCCGAGGAAGATACTCTGAGGCTTCTGATGGATACGCACTTTCCCGGTTCCACAGTAGCGCGATCAATCACAGAGTGCATGCAGTTGCGCAGGCCCTCAAGGGAGGACTGGCGCACGGCAAGGGAGATTGTCACCTTCGAAAGGACGGTATGGGCAGTAGATTCGTTTGCCCCATACAAAAGTCCAGGTCTGGACGGCGTATTTCCGGCCATGTTACAGCAGGGACGGATTTCGGTTGTTCCTTACCTGTTGAATGTGTTTCGAGCATGTGTGGCCACGGGCTTCACACCTAGAAGTTGGCGGCAGGCTAAAGTGGTATTCATTCCTAAACCGGGCAGAGATAGATATACTGGCCCGAAGGATTTTCGACCGATTACTCTTTCATCTTTTGTGCTTAAGACCCTGGAAAGGATAGTTGATAGATACCTAAGGGATGGCCCACTGGAAAGGTGTGTCATTCATGCAAATCAGTTTGCATACCAAGCTGGAAAATCGACTGATCTGGCCTTACACAATCTGGTTGGGAGGCTGGAGAAGACTCTAGATCAGCGAGAAGTGGCACTCGTGGCCTTCTTAGATATTGAAGGTGCATTTAATTGCACCACAACCGACTCTATCAGACAGGCCTTGGTTAGACACGGGGTTGGATCAATCCTAATAGATTGGGTCCTCTCTACTCTGGAGGGTCGGGTAACAACATCTATGCTGAATAACGTAAGCTGCAGCGTGAACGTAGCTAGAGGCTGCCCTCAGGGTGGAGTTCTGTCACCCCTACTGTGGTGTATCGTGGTGAACGAACTGCTCGTTAGGCTCAACAGTATGGGTGTCTACGTGCAAGCCTATGCTGATGACGTAAGCATAGTGGTTAGGGGGCGTTTCTGTAGAACAGTCTCGGAAATTATGCAGGGCGCTCTGCGCTCCGTGGAATCGTGGTGTAGGGAAGTCGATCTTTCTGTTAATGCTGAAAAGACCGAGCTGATCCTATTCACTAGGAGAAGAAGGCTTGACGGACTGGTCATGCCTACCTTCTTTGGGACTAGATTAGTTTTGTCCCAGTCAGTGAAATATCTGGGAATTATCCTGGACTGCAAACTGAACTGGAGAGAGCATGTGGAACACAAGGTTAGCAAGGCTCGCAATTCGATGTGGGCTTGTAGACGTGTTGTCGGTGTAAGGTGGGGGCTTAAACCCAAAGTGGTATACTGGCTCTACACGACGATAGTACGTCCATCTCTCTTGTACGGCTCCCTGGTCTGGTGGCCTTGCATTAGAACTGAGTCAACTAAGGCCAAACTCAATAAAATTCAGCGTTTGGCCTGTATTAGCATTACAAGCGCAGTGCGAACAACGCCATTGAGTGCAATGGAAGCTCTGTTGGATCTCCCACCGTTGGATCTGGTGATCCGCGGTGAAGCGAGAGTAGTCGCTCATCGACTGTGGAGTCAGGGCAGCTGGGCTTTCTTGAATCCGGTCAAGGGGCATACTGCCATATTAGTCGAATTAGATAGGGAGGACCCCGTCCTTCTAAGCAGGGGTGATCGTATTACCCCTAAATATCGCTTCAACCGCAAGTTCATTGTGGAGTACCCAACGAGGGAGGAGTGGGACGCCGGTAGCCGAGGACTCTCCGAAGTGAGCGGGCAGGTCTGGTACACGGACGGCTCGGTCACCGAAGAGGGCTCAGGTGCTGGGGTCTCTGGACCTAGAACTAGGCTATCTCTGCCTCTCGGTGAGTACACCACCATTTTCCAGGCGGAAATCTTTGCGATTCTGGCTTGTGTATCTCACATTCTGGAGGAGGGTGGGCCTAGGAGAAGAATAACAATCTTATCCGACAGCCAGGCTGCAATGAAAGCACTAAGTGCATGTAAGATTACTTCGAGTCTTGTATTGCAATGCAGGGAGGCTCTGGATTGCCTCGCAGCGAGGCATCCGGTATCGTTAATATGGGTACCGGGGCACGCTGGGATAAGGGGCAATGAGACGGCGGACACTCTGGCGAAAACAGGATCAGCCAGCAAGCTCGTTGGTCCTGAGCCAGCTCTAGGAGTAACCGCGCATAAAGCTAGGAGGAAAATGGAGACGTGGGTTGCAAGACAACACTCTCAGAAATGGAGAAGTATCTCTAGACATCTCCGCCAGGCACGAGAGCTCATTGAAGGGCCCAGTGCTAAGGATGGACGCTTCTGCCTATCTCTGGGTAGAGCCAACCTAAGGTTGCTGGTGGGACTGTTGTCTGGCCATAACACGTTAAGGCGGCACCTGCACGTGATGGGGGTGGCTGAGGATCCCTTATGCGAACGCTGCGGAGTAGAGGAAGAGACCTCGGCGCACGTTTTGTGTCGCTGTGAAGCTCTGAGCTACTATAGGCAGACTATACTGGGGTCCATTACTTTGGACCCTCAGGACGTAAAGGAGCTTGGACTCAAGGCGATTCTCAACTTCGCTAAAAGGGCGAGGCTTGTGATTTAAGTATTGTAGAGGTGCATAAGGGCCCGCTTAAGCGGCCTATGCACTGGCTCCTTATGGTGGCCGGGATGCCTCTAAAATTCAAGATTCATTCATTCATTCATTCATTCAAAGGGCAGTATAACATCCCAGAGGAGTGATGCCAGATTGCATCCAGAAAGAAGTGCTTTGCTATCACATGTGAACACTACAGGGCACTCGATATGCTATAACAGTATCAAGATCCTTGGCAGAGAAGAACATCTCTCTAAACGTTTGTTCTTAGAAATGTCACACATTTTCATGATAGTTGTCTGCACAAAGAGGCTGATGACAAGCAACCTAGCGTTATCTACTCTTTTTGGCTAAATTGCAAAAATTGGAACGGTTACACATATCTCTAAATATTGATTTGTCACAATAACAGGTACAACAATTTCAAAAGGTAAAGGTTGTTAAAAATATTCGTTTCTCCCCCGTTCTCGCCAGGACAGGCCTTTGACAACATCAACCAATTTTTCCAAGTGTACTCTCACTTTAAATCAAGAACACAGTTCAAAAAAATTTAAACAATAAATTTAAACTTCTCTTTTACGCTTTCGACTTAAGCTAACGCTCCTCTTAATGTACCGCACATGTTTGCTTCTAGGTTGGTAACAGGCTAAACAAAAAACCGGTTCCCCTAATAACTACTTGAATGCACATAGTACCAACTTCACACATAAGTCCTAACCTCTCGACCAAGTTAACATTTTGAGGTTAGTCTAAGATGTGAGTTTGAGAAGTTTTAGAATTTATTTATTTAATTACGTCATTTATTCCTACCTGTTGAATTGCGAAAAGCTAGAACGGCTACATATCCAAATCGAACCAACATCGTCCCAAAATAAGAATACATTTCCAATTGCTATCCTGGTAATAGAAATTTCTCACTCACAATCTTTAATATAAACTCACATAACCCATCTTTTCAAGTGTGTATCACCATCTCACATCCGTACACTCATATGAACTCCACATTTTTCCAAAACAAATTGATTCAGCATTTTAGTAATTTGGGTGAAGGTTTACCGAGCATCCCTCGTATACTTCATATCCTAATTGGTCAATGAGGTTTTCAGTTCCACGTTCCGTCGCGTCAATCATTTTTCATCTGTCGACGCATTATCCGATTGTTTCCCTAAAATGTCTTCTCATATTTAATAATTTTTGATATGTTCGGGTGTATTGATACTATTTTAGTAATCTGTCGTTATCAACAAGCCCAATGTCTCCGTCCTTTTGTTTTTATATTTATAACAAGTTCTTCTTTGCTAGCATCACAATTGTGTTTTCAGAATCCTGATGAAGGCTCCATAGAGAATGCCGAAAGCTTGATTTTATCGTCAAAAGAGTCAACTTAAGCCTAACAATTTGCCAATTTTCCAATTAACAATTAATTATATATATATATATATATATATATATAATTTGCTACGCCATTTAAGAAAATGGAACATTCGTAGGAAAAGCAAGTGTTGAATAGAAAATGTTCATCGTTTATAATTCGTTCACTCATATCTTCACAAAATTGTAGTCGCCGATCAAAATCATCTTAATTAAGTTCTTGTACCAGGTGAATTTTATACGGATGAAAACTATGGGCCTTTAGAATCCGTTGGACAGTACGTCGACTAACACCACACACAGTCTCCAATTTGCCGGTACTTAACGTAAGATCTGCATAAACTTTCGGTAATTTCAACTCTTTCTGCTGTGGAATATACCATGGTTAATTTATGTAATAAAGCGTTACAAGTTATTTTAGCAACAAAGTTTGATCAAATCAATCGCAAACTATGTACTAAATTCCTATTTAAAATAAGTACAAGATATTTTCTTATCTTTCTTCAGGAAATAATTTTTTTGCCACAAAAAACGCTGCAATAGCTATTTTCAACAACAAAATGATAAACAAACCATGGGCGTAGTGAAGAAAAGCATTTACTTATTAAGTAAATTCTTTTCGTCAAATTTCTTCTGATAGTAGTACAAGCTAATATGATGTTTCATTGTAAATATTGACGACAATCGATCCTATGTAAAAACGTAATATAGAAACGATTTTGGGGCTAATTAAATTGTCCATCATTTTGCTTTTATAGAAACTTGTATTGGTGAACAGGTTACAAGAAAATTAAGGGTAAAGGTACATGTAATGATAGTTTCGGTTATAATAGCTAAACTAAGAACCTAAGAATACAAAATACTACTACGTTTTGT